AATCAGCTGTGAAAAAAGGGGCCTGCTGCTGACCAGCTCTATGGGTGACCTGGTCTCTTGGCTCAAAGCCGCCTTCCCACCGAGCCATCCAGTCATCTTGTCAGGTTCAGGAGTTGTTAAGAGTAAAAATACATCTGATGACCTAGCTGAGGCAGATAATATGAAGGCAGACAATACGAAGGCAGACAGAAACGAACTTTAGCACTGATTTAGTAATTTTAGAGAGATACGAAATTCTGAGGTTATTCAAGTCCTAATTCCGCATATTGCCAACAAAATTCCTCTTGCTGCTATTCAGTACATACGGTGGAGCTTTTTATAACAGACAGTCTCTCTCTCTTAACAGGCAGAGATCATTTTCTGCTGAAGTGCCTACTATGAACTCTAAGGGTGTGTATTTTAAAACCCAAGAATGTATTAAGAGCTGTAACTGAAAGAAGATTTTCTCATTTAAGTCTCAGGAAAGGTTAAAGGAAGAACTCTCTCCAGGTGAAAAGTAATTTTCAGTATGAAGTCAGAAGCTGCTGTTATTTGTGAGAAAGGAACTAAAATGTGATGACAAGTGTTGGAAGAAGAAGGTACTTCCAAAAAGGGGACTGCAAATCAGGGAACAGAAGATGGGACCTCACACTGTTAACTGGCAGCAGTTCAGCTCCAGGTTAATAAAAGTCTTGAACGTTTAAAAACGACTTTATTTGCAGTCTCAATTCTTGTCTAAGTGAGCAGGTGGCCACACCTCAATCCAACTGGCATTCACATTACACTGTTCCAGGAAACCTGTAAGGAGACTGACCAGACACAGCTATCTGAAACAGAACGTTTAAATAAAATCTAAGTGACCTGGAGAACAGAGGTGACAATACACAATTCCCTAAACTTACTGAATTGCTTTAGTACTTCATGTTTAGTAAAATACATTTGAATTGCATGAAAGCAAGCCTGTTTTACTGTGGACTTCATTCAATTAATTTAAGAAAATGTTAGGAATTCCTTATGTTATACTTAACGAACTTTGTAACAAGCCAAAGTCGGAGTGCATGAAGGGGAAGATAAATACCCACACTACGGAAGAAAGAGAACAATCCCTAGGCCAAGAGCACCCCACAGTACAACTACACCTACGGGCCCTTGCTGTGAGCGGCTCAGTCTATTTCCAGGTCGCTGTCTTCACTGTAACAAGCGGAAGCGTTGTGTATGGAAGTCAGGAGCACTAGGTCTTTTTCTGGAAGCAAACCACATTCCTGCAGAAAAGCCTCCAGGTCTACAGCAAAAAAATCTTCTCCGAGCTGGTCAGTGATTCGCACGAAATTGCCGATGAGCTCACCTGCCTTATAGATGAGCAAAGCCGGCAGCGCGTTATTCGTGAAGCGAGCACTAGCACCGATCAGCGAACTCTTTACTCGGCAAAATTTCACTGCCGGGTACTCGGCGGCCAGGCAGATCATGCAGCCGTTCAGGGACTCGGTGCCAGGGATATCATCTTCGTAAATATGGATCATGATCAGTGTGCTCTTGTGCTCTTTATCAACCGTGTCCAAAAATGCTTCTCCGCTGGTGATCTCAAAAACCTGCTTGAACTGCTGCCCGCTGTACAGCTGCTGCCGCATCTCCTCCATCCGCTGCTTCCTGTACCGCTGTAAAAACTCCTCGTCATCTTCATCGTTGTGAATCATGTTATACTCTTGTAACGTCATCTAAAAAACACATACAAAGATACACAAAAAAGGATCTGCATCACTATATGGGTCACTTATATAATGAGAATTGAAATCAAAAGGATTATGTGGGTCACTCATCTTTAATAACAGCAAAGTGCAACCCTCTGTATGACACTCCATTTTGATCTAATTAGAAACCACGTCCATCGGGAACAGCCGTTTCAGCCCCGGGTATTCCAGTTTCCACAAGCTGCACTAATAACACAAGGGGCTGCTCCACGCTCCCGCTTTCATTCACGTGACCGTTGGCTCTGTGCTTTCACTAAGCCACGAGCGCTGGTTTGGATACCGTGACCGACCCAAGCCGAGCTCCTTTTCCATTAGCTTTCTCTCCTAGTTTTTCAGTTAACGTCTTGCGGCAACCAAATGCATTATCCTGCCTGCAGAACCAGAACTAACAGGGGTTTATGTACTTCGTGTCTGTTCACGCGCTACGTTAAACATATTTGCATCACTCAAGGCATAGGACAGTGTGGCCAACTTTCAGGTGAAAGCAAGAAACACTGCCTGCTAAGAAGTAACTTCTCCGCTGGAACTGTAAGAGCCAGTTATACAGCCCAGTTATCAAAACCATTCCCCACTTCCAACGCCTTCTGTCTCTGGAGCTCAAAGTCAAGGTTAAATTCTCAACATCCTCTTACTAAATGCGAAATCAGTAAGGTCTCCTAAACTCTTCATTTAGCCATGGGAGGCAGTATTCACGGGTTTGCTGTACAACATTTCGTATTAATCCCCTGAAGTTGACTTATTTGATAAACAGGTAAGGGAAATCTGGGAGAAGGATCTGGGCTTCTTCAGTATAGCAGCTGAATTGCTTATTTCTTAACACAGGCTAACGCAGTGGTCCTGGAATACCCCTAAAATGCAAAATAATTAAACTTGACACCACCTGGCAAAGAGTTATAATGCACCTCTCCGACCGCTGCTGTGTTCCTGATTGCTAGGGAGAAACGACACATCTCTGCTGACACAACAGCTCTCCTTCACGTACACAAAGGACAAAACTGAAAACGTTAAACATTTAAGTGGCATTTTAACTCCTTTGTGCCACGGTACCTTTCCATTGATTTTTTCCTGAAGCTCTTTCTGCTTCTGCGTGTTGGTCTCCTCATCTAAGTGAGATCTACACGTCATGGATAACTTTTTAATGAGTCGTTCCATTTCTCTGCGCTGCTCCTGCCGCTGTTCAGTTTCCAACTGCTTAAATCTTCGCCAGTCATTGATGACTCCTTTGGGACCTGAAATTAAATATGTAGGCATTTCGTATAAAAGGGTAGTAAAATTACACCTATAATTTCAAATTCAAGTAATAAATTGTACGTCAGCAGTAAAACAGCAGCCCTGTCATAAACTGTTTGTATATGGCGCAAAGTGTTGAAATGAAACAAAAGAAGTAATTTACCATTTACGTGTCCTTGAGCTTGTATCTGGGGTTTTTTGCTAAGAAGACTAAAGTTTTTATCTAACTAGGCTGCTCTCGTAACTATCCCAAAGATTATTCCAAAGATTAATATCTGTGCTCTTGAAATAGAACCACCAGCCCCCAGGAATTCCCCTACCGTTGGCGTGGCTTTTCCTAAGAACAAAAAGAATGACGGGAAAGCGCAGGTCAGTTCGCCAACGCTCTTGTACAGCTTGTGACGTACGACAGTGTTCGTTCTTACAGACAGCCCAGTGCAGCCACCTTTCCCGGTCCTCTCAAAGCACGCCAGTTTAGTACCATAATTCTGCCATTCTTCCTTCAGGCGAAAAACGTGAAGGAAGAAGATTTTTCATCATTCTTAGAGAAAACTGATAAAACACAGAGGGCCAGTCTTTCCTAAGATCCTAAGAAGTACCCTCTGGATGACACCAGTTATCCACACAGGCTTGTACTGTGTCAGTGGCAGCAGAGAACACTCTTTTGGGAAAGCCTGGCCACTTCCTCTCTACTCCTCGGGTACGCGTTCAGCACCCACCCGTTAGCCGTTAACAACGGTGTGGCTGACAGGAGAGACATCGCTGTGTCATCACCCACACTGTACACCTCCGCTTGGTACGCAAAGCCTAACGGCTTTGGCCACAACGCTGAAGTCTCTCAGAGGAGAAGTCCAACATTAAAGAACTGGCTATTAAAAATAAGGTCAGACTACCGTGAGGAAATGATCAGGCTCAAAGCATGCATAAAAACAGGACTTTCATTTTGAAAAAGGATTTTTAGAAAAACACATGAATCTTCCAATAAACAAAGTATCTACAAAACCATTAGTCTGATATGACGATACCTGTGTTGACTGCACTGCCATCGCTGCTAAGTTCTACTTCCCCAATGCTTTCAGGAACGGTGCTCTCCCCTTCTTTATCTTCTTTCTCACTGTCTTCATCCTCACCCTCACTGCTGCTGTAATAATACTGGAGCTTCTCACCAAGCAGTTTATCGTCCAAAGCAGTCATTATGTTCTAAAAAATAAATTAACAAAATAGAGAATGTATCTCTTATTCCAACATGAGATACCACTTTAAATGCACAGTGATAGTCCTTCACTCCCTCACAGCAGTTTTTAGCCACATAAGAACAGTTTACAGCCCACTCCCAAAGAGCCTACGGCGCAGCCAGGGAGTTAATTCTTAGTCACAATTTCAAGCTCACTTAAGATAAAAACTTTTACAACTAGAACTGCTTTGAGCTCACTAGTGCAGAATCACTTTATGCGTGTTCTCACTCACAGAGAATGAATTTTCTAACCATGATTCAGGAGTCTCACTCAGACAGCTCCATGAGGTTGATCTCCCAGTTATTGAAATTTAAGTTTCCAGTATTATTTGCATTATTTTAACAATGATTTATTTGAGCTGAAAAATGATCAATGTAATTTATCGAATTAAAACGTTCTGACCTTTATTCCTTTCCAGTCTTTCAGAGACAAGCTTCTATCAAAACCTGGAAGAAGAAATTTCAGATTATATTAGTTCAAATTCTCAAAGATAATCTCACAAAAACTTTTGCAGAAAGTTGGCACATTTAAATAATGGCAAGGAAGATAACCTAGAGAAAATGTAACCACCTTTACTGTTTAATAAAAAAGCTTACTCTCAAACAAAGAAAACATACTTTCTAAGTACTGAGACAGAACATATGAATGCTTAGTGCAGTCAGTGCTACAATTTCACAAATATCACTTCCAGGCTAAGGAATAACACATCAAAAGAAAGGTCTGCACATCTGTCATCTTTTCACCTGTCCACTGACCGCACTGGACATCTTCACAGAGGTCAACAGCATCCTGTTTGTACAGACAACACTGAAATGAGATGCTGACGCACTGATAAAGCGACTGTAACTACCCTAAAGATCCACCCTTTTCCCGGGTTAAATATTTTTTTAATGCAAAAATACCTTCTGCTAAGTAGAAATTACCAACAGCAGAATCCACCCTCTAAAGCTACTGACCGCGTCAGCACGTACGGGCTGTGTAAACGGCTCACAGCGGGAGAAGAGAAAGGTCAGGTGTTTCCAAGGGAGGGAAAGCTGAAGAACCAGGGAGCACCTTAAGAGTCTGGGGCTCGCTCTCCACTGACTCCTTCCACCACGATCCTCTAGAAGAGCTGTAGGTCGGATCTCATCCTGCCGGAGATGTAAAACGCCCAAGAATTACTGTTCTGTCCTGGGTGAGGGGTGAAGGCTGCAGACAGGGGCACCACTGGCGTCAGGGAAGTGGCTGATGGACCTGTGATGCACTACCTACGCCTGAATGTCCACAAAATTTCATTTAAAAAAAAAGCAATTTCAACCAAATCAGTTGATTTGGGCTCACATGTCATCCCGCAGGCTCTGCCAGCCACCCCCCGCAACGCACGGACACAGCGGGGCTCTGCTCCCCCCGCCACCCGCTGGCAGGTTCCGCAGGGGTTAAAACCAGACAACGCAGATGACGGAGGAGGTGGCCAGATGGCCCGGGATTACCGCGATTACCTCTCAGGGCCC